GGCTGCCAGCTGCAACTGGAATTTGTGCCAAATGCTGTGCAGAAGGCCTGTGCTAGCAGGGGAGCTGTCAGTCAGTCAGTGTGACTGGCAGGCAGCAGCACTAACCTCTGCTGCCGGTGCCAGGTTGGATGCCTGCCTGTCCGGTCCCCTTTGGTTTGTGCATGGCTGGCATGGCAGAGTCTCCACTGCCAGCATGCACTGAGGAGGGTCCCAACAGAGGTCCCCACAGAGCCCCTGGCAGCCCCAGTGCCCGTGGGGCATAGCCACAGGAGGTGACAGGTCCACCCTGCCCCTGTGCCACACAGCACCGAGTGAGAAGTGAGTGTTTGCCTCTCTGCCGTTCCCTCCTGCAGTGAACAGGTCACCATCGCGGTGCAGCGGGCTCAACCGCTCCGAGTCCCCCAACTGGGAGCACAACGACTACGGGGGCAGCAACACACAGCTCCACAGCAGCAGCAACAACATCTACACCCCCGACTACTCCGTGCACATCCTCTGCGATGTGCAGTTCGTCAAGGTACAGGCTGGGCTGGCAGGGACTGTTGCACCCTGGGCACCCCTTCCCAGGCACCTTCTTGTTCTATGTCCTGGGAGCCTGATGGGTGCCCAGTGGGTGCTGGGGAATACCACACTCCTGCTGGCTCGGGGTTTGGTACCACCAAGTCCCCAGGAGGTCTCGGTGGACCCACTGAGCTGGATGTGCATGTCTGTCTGCGCAGGTCACCCGGCAGCAGTATCACAACGCGCTGGTGGCCAGCCGCATGGACAGCTCGCCACAGTCCCCTGACATAGAGGCCTTCGACAGGGATTCAACCAAGGCCTCGACCCTGCGGGGAACTCCACAGACACCCAAGGAGGATCCCACCACCCTTCTGAACGAGAAGAACAGCATCATGTGTGAGTCACCCAGCAGAATCCCTTCCCTGCCATAGGCCAATGCTGCATGTCCCCTGAGGGCCATGCTGGGATCTGCTGGCATGATGGGTACACCACTGCTGAGACGCAGTTGCACGTGGCCTGGGGCATAGGTGCAAGTGTGCAGGCGTGTAATTCCTCTCTGTATGCTTGTGTTCCCTGGGGGTCTCTGGCAGTGGGACCTGCTGCTATGGCTGGCATCCTGCTGCATCTGCCCCAGGCACAGCATCTCCCTGCCCTGCTGCCATTCTTGCCCTGTGTCCCTGCAGGCAACCGCTCTGAAGGACTGCACAGTCCCAGTGAGTCAGTGTTCCTGCGCATGGAGAGCATCCCCTTCATCCAGGAGGAGACAGCTGACAATGAGGAGAACAGCAAGCATCAGAGTGAGTCTGGCCAGGGGACATGCACACAGGGGTGGTGAGGGCTGTGGTGCCCTTGGGTGCTGCAGCCATACTGGGCTTTTGCAGACAGTGAGCGCTGCGGCACTGTCCTGGAGCCAGAGTCCCCCGGCAGAGAGACTGAGACCAGCTCAACTCCAAGCAGCAATGAGGAGACGCTGGGCAGGAGGCTGCTGAGATCCCTGAGTGAGTGACTCGCCCATGGAGGGAGCACTAGGGGAGAGCTCCTGGGGACACCCTGTATGGGGCTGATGGGCAACGCAGTACCCCGGCAGTACCCCAGCAGCCGGCAATGCTGCATCTAAGGCTAGCTCAGGTAGAGCAAGTCACCCTGCCCTGAGCATCTTTGCCCCCAGCACCCCAGCCCCTCTCGCTGCTGCAGGTGGGCGCAAGCAGCGGCCATCACTGGAGGATGAGAAGTTGCCAGAGGAGAGCTCCAATCTTGACCCATTAATCACCTGAGCAGCAGCGTGGCCAGAGCACAGTGCTGGAGGCCCATGCAGACTGGAGGTAGGAACCTGCTTCTTAGTGCAATATTCCAGCAAATGAGAGGTTGCTCAACATTAATAGCATAAACTCAAGTTTCAAGCAGCAAAGCCAAATGCTGTGGTTAGGCATACACATTGTTGGGGGCTGGAGCAGGGTCAAGGAATGTAGCAGCAGATTCCAACCATCTTTGAGGCAGGAAGGGGTGTGGGAGACAGTGAGACCCTGACTCATGTTTTCACAGCTAGAAATGTTTGTCTGCCTCAATATCTCTGAACCTGCTTGGGAAGGTGCTGCAGGCTTGAGCAGCAGCAGGTGAGTGAGGGCAAGCTCCAGCTACCTGCACGAGGCTGCCTTTGTGTCTTCCAGGTCTGCAGCATGGGGGTCTCCTGCCACGAGGCTTATGTTCAACAGCAGCAGGTCTGCACCTGCTCGCTGCCTGCCCGCTCGCGCCTCCCCTCCCTGCAGGACTTGTGCAGAGCCCCATCCCCAGGCGAGAAAGGATGTGCCCCCAGCAGGGCTGAACCACCCAGGCAGCCCAGACCAGCCAGCTGGAGTCCGAGGGCCCTTGCCCTGCTGCTCCCTGGTAGCATCTGGTCTCAAGGAAGAGGTGGAAAAAGTAGAGAAGTGTTTGTTATGGCCTCCCATGCAGGCAGAGCCAGGGGGCAGCTGAACCCAGAATCTCCCTTAACATCATCTGCCATCCCCATCCCAGAGAGCCCCAGAGCCCCTTGGTGCTGGCGCTGCACAGATGTGGTCTCCACCACGAAGAGAATGTACTGGCTGGGGGGTGCCACATGCAGCTCAGGGCCCCAGCACACATTTGTGCCATGCCTAGTGATACGCACACTCGCAGCACCTTGCACACACTGACCATCGACACAGCCCAGCGCTCCCGACCCCTGCTAGGCACAGGGCAGGGAGCCCAGCTCCCTGGGGCTCCACGCTGCCTTGAACCATCCTCCTCTCTGCACACGTCTGCCTGTGTGAGGGAGGCTTGCACTGAGCCTTTGGGTTGGTACAGATCAGTCAGTAGTGTTTGTAGAGGCTGAAAGCAACAGGGATATTACCATTAAAAGTGATTTCTCCCTGAGCTATGCCCTGTGTCAATGCGTGTTGGGAAAAATGTGCTAACCTCTCCCACTGGGCTCAGCTGCCCTCATACCCATGGCAGAGGTGGTTGAAGTAACAGGACCCTGAAGGGAACAGGTAGCAGATCAAGTCGGCAAGTGCTTCCCAGTTTCTCCATGTGAACCTCGGCTGTCACACTGGCTGCCATGAGAGCACTCAGTTACACCACAGCAGTGCAGACAAGCACTGGGGGAGAACAGGAGTTAATACCATGCTATTGCAAACACAATAGGGAGATACACATGCTGGAGTAGAGCCTAAGAGATAACAGAAATGTCTTAGTCCACCAATGCTGATAAAACTTCAGCTGGAGTTAACTGCATCACTGTCTGGACATTGCCTTTCTAAGGAAAAACACAGCAATTGAAAAGACGCCAGAGGAAAGCAAGGGCTGCAAAACAACCTCTTCCAAAGGTTGAAGGAAATGGGGTTGCTTATTCTTAATTGGTGAAGGATGTGGAGAGGGGAAGTTCTCAAATACATAAAAAGCTGTTGCAGAGAGGAAAGGAATAATCTGCTCTCCGTTGCCATGGTAAGTGGGATAATGGGTAATGAGCTTACACTACAGAAAGAAATTTAGGTCACTTGTTAGGAAAAACAAGGCTGTTAAGGCTAGCAAAGCACCAGTACAGATCACACATGGGGTGGGCCAGGCTGCACACCTAGATGTGCATACAGACAGAAGTGTAAACAAATGTCAGAAATAACAAAAGCAGTTGGTTCCCTCAACTCCTCCTGATATCACCCCTAGAAGTCATCCTTTAACAAGGACCCCATCATCCTAGCTGTGGATGGACATCAAGAACAGAAAAAGCTCCCCACCTGCACAGAGGCCAGGCTGCCTCTGGCTCCCTCTCTTATGTGACATGAACACCAACCTAAAAATGACAAATTAGAGAACCCATGTGCTGTCTCTCTGCAAGAACAGCAAGGGAACAAGGCACCAGTTTTGCCTTTACTGTCTAAGCTGCAGCACAAGCAAAATCCATCAGGGCATCAGTGACTTACTAACTGACCCCAGGAAAAGGGCTGTTTCCCTTTCTTCACCAAGATCTTGGCAGGAGGCTGCTCTGTCAAGGTGGTAATATCAGCTCACAAATAGATCTGCAAAGAGTGACTGCAGAGAGCAGAAACAGATGGTCCCAGCTCTTTTTCTGTGCCAGAAACAGGCTGGTGCTGGCAGGTCCCGCTGAAGCCAGGAGGAGTAGGTGGTGGTTCATCAGGGGCCTGCTGATAAGGAGGAAAAGGAAAGATCCGCTTTTCAGCACATCAGAAGCAAGCCAGGAGCTCTGTGCCAGGGAGGGATGGCCAGATGGTTGGGCAACACATGACCATCCAGAAAGCAAGCACAGCCAGAACAAGCTGAAGAGCACAGGGGAGGGGAGCAGAAAGAGGAACACAAGGGGGATATGGGAGGACCCGGTCAGATTTGTGTACTCACAGGGAGCTCCCAGCTACACTTTCCCAATAGGACTGTGCCTCATTAGTAGCAACCATAACCATCAGAGATGCAACACACCATGAGGGAGAAAGGGAGAGCCTTGAAACCAACTGAGTAAGAACCAGTGGACAAACCAGGCTGCTGAGGCTTTAACCACAGCCTGGGAAGACATTAGATCAGCCTGAAGGCACGTTACACAAGGTAGGGGTAGTGTTCAGAGGAGATTTAATTTTCTGTCAGCAACACAAAGAAGCAATAATCACGATTACGAATGTTTGCTCGCATAAGGCTCAGAACTCCAAGGGGGGGGACACACAACAGCAACAGCTTCACTCCTCCCCAAAGTACTACAGAGTGACATTAGTTCACAAGCCATATGAGATCCCAGCCAACTGAGCTGTTATCCCACAGCACATTGCACTGGCACCAGACTTCACCTAGATCAAACTGATCAGTTACACGGAGTTGACTTAGATGTGCTAAAGATGCAGCTCTAAGTGCCTGAAGGCCAGGCTGCTGTCAGTCAAACAAGAGCCAAGGCAGCTAATGCTGCCACCACCCTCCTGGGGGCACTGGCTTACCATATTATAAGGGGCACTTCAAAAAGGTGAAGAGATGATTATCCCTGATTGAGCTGCCCCTCCCATCTTTATTAAACCCCAAGAGCTGCGGGTCAAGGCAAGCCATGAGCAGCAAAAGACACAGACTACGCACTACAGCTTTGGTGACTTCATGTAAGTTTGTTTGTTCATGTGCTTCATTGGATTTTTGTGACAGCTTCATGGATGGACTTGGCCACGTAGTCCAGGTTCTTCGTAGTCAGGCCACACATGTTGATGCGTCCACTGGCCATCAGGTAGATGTGTTTTTCCTTGATCATGTACTCCACCTGCTTAGCTGGGGAAACAATTGGACATCAGGTCAGAGCAGTGATCCCACAGCTCAGAAAAGCCCAAAGAACCAGTCAGGGCTGCTTGGATCTTTCATAACAAGCAGAAAACTTGGAGCACTGGCCACCAAAATGCTGTCTGATGCTTCATCCCTGCCTACCCAGAGAGGCAGTGATGCCAGGACTCCAGTGTGGTCCCTGAGAGATTCCTGCCTGGACTGCTTCAGCCCAATTCACCACCACCAAAACTGTCCTCACCCAGTCCTCCCTTCACGAGGCCACTTGGTACTTACGGTTCAACCCTGTGAAGCTAAACATGCCAATCTGCTCTGTGATGTGGTTCCAGGTGCCTGGGGTCCCAAGGGCCTCCAGTCGAGACCGGAGCTCTGAGCGCATCAGCAAGACACGATCTGCCATCGTCTTCACATTGTCCTTCCTGCAGCAGGCAGGAAGCAGAGAGTGAGGACAGGCACCTATCCAGTTGGGAGCCATTTGACCAAGCCTGGCACTCGGGAAGACAACTTCCCCTGCTTTCCCTCTCCCACTGTCCCTAGCAACACTTACCACTCAGCAAAGAGCTGTGGGGAAGAAAGCGTAGTTGCCACAATACGTGCTCCCTGGGAGGGAGGGTTGGACCAAGTGGTGCGCACAATCTTCTCCATCTGTGAAAGCACACGCTGCACGTTGTCTGTGTCCTTCCCCACCACAGTCAGGTTCCCCACACGTTCATCTGTGGACAAGAAAAGAGATGTGAGCCACTGGTCCCACACATCATGACAAAGCAGAGCTCTGCCCACCCCCAGCATGCCAGCCCCATCTGTCTGGGTATGATGCTACTGGGCCAGCTTACTGCCAGACACTCACTGTAGAGCCCAAAGTTCTTGGAAAACGACTGTGCACAGAAGAGCTCAAAGCCCTCGGAGACAAAGTATCGCACAGCCCAGGCATCCTTGTCCAGGCTGCCAGAGGCGAACCCTTGGTACGCAGAGTCGAAGAATGGAAACAGGAACCGGCGCTGCAAGGAGGAACAGTGTTAGAGGGAAACCTCTTCCCCACAATCTTCACGCTACCCCCTACTGTCCCCATAGGAGGGAAAAATGACCATTGAGCTTCTGGAAGAATACAAAAGAAAAATGGTCCAGCAACACCAGACTGTGATATTTTCTTTCTACTGGGGTAAAAGAATAGGAAGACTAAAAGACAAAATGCAGGAAAAAAATGCATTTGAGGACACAGGCACAAGAGATGCACCACCTTATATCCTATTATCCAGCACCTGTGAAAAGCAGGTGCCCATGGGTAATCTTTCCGGCATGAGAACCCTCACTGCAGCTCATGCCACAGAGTTGAAAGTAAGAACTTGGAAGCATAAGCAGAACTGGGATACTTCTCTGAACACAGGCAAACAGCATCCTATTAGCCTTTTCCTTCAACACCTGTCCTGCAGGACTCTTCCAGCTCCTGCCACAACTCATGCCATTCTGTAGAGCTCATTTTGGATGCAAGCGGTCTGGCTGGCTCAAGAGCTATCTGTTCCCCCAGCACTACTTTAGCCCCAGCAGCAGCCCATACCTTCATAACAGCAGCAATCTGCTTCCACTGGTCAGGAGTAGGGTCTGTGCCCGTTGGATTGTGCGCACAGGCATGGAGAATGAAAATGGAGAACTCTGGGGCTTTCTGAGGAGAGAGTAAAGTAGATCTTGGTCATACACAGAGATGAGACTAGGCACCCACAGCAAAGGGAGATGCCCTGAGCTGCTCTGGCCACTGACAGTCTGTGCAGAGATCCACTTCCAGGCACAGCATGCAAGAGCCCAGCCAGCTCCTGACAGCACAGGACCAAGCTCAGCCCATCCCACACCAGTTTTACCCACCTCCATGTCATCCAGCAGCCCCTGGAGATCCAGACCCCTCTTGGCAGCATTCCAGTAGTGGTAGGTTCTAATGTCTTTAAAGCCAGCATCCACAAACACAGAGTTGTGGTTCTCTGAGGAAAGAAACCACTTCTCAGAAAAGCAGGCCCCACCTCCAGCAAGCCACCTCATCCAGCCCCAGCATCTCATTTTACCCACAAGCAGACCTCTCTCACTGCCTGCAAGGAACTCAGCCATGGTCCCATCACCAACCGACCCACAGGGCTCCCTGCAAGGAGGCAGGAGCACTGCCAACAGCACTCACCCCAGGACGGAGTGGAGATGTAGACCGGGGTCGCTGTGTTATTGTTTCCATTGTACCACCGCCTGAGAAACTCTGCGCCGATACGCAGGGCGCCCGTCCCGCCCAAGGACTGAACGCCTCCAATCTGCAACAGAGAGAGGTGCCAGCAGGGTCAACCTCACTGTCAGTGTGCAGAGAACAGAGAGAGCAAGAGAAGGATGCCAGACGTGCTCCCTGGGGTCACCCCAGCGAGGACAACATTCCCTTCCAGTGGTCTTCAGCCTCCTCCAAAGCACAGGTCCATCCTGACACTTTCTACAGTTATAAATAGACTTCAGTTATTCCTGTTACTTTTTGGCACAGAGCAGATTCCCAGCTAGTAGCTTATTTCAGGAAAGGTCGTCTGTTATCCAACTTCAGTTTCCCGTGGGACAGCTGTTAAAAGATGAAGGAAACAAAACAAATTCCAGTCTCAGCACACGTTCAGTCTTTCCCCAAAATTACAAACAGGTTCAAGTACACGGGTTCACCAGGTAACCTACAACCAGTAAAAAACACATCAGAGAAATCCCCAAATCCTGCCAAAATGCCTTTACTCTGCATATTTGGGCTCAGTCTGCTGTAAAGACAGCCCCAGGATCCCGGTGGCTCTCTCAGGAAGGATCGGTCTCACCCCCTGCCCACCACCTACCCGGTTCTCCTTGATGGCGGGGCTGTCGTCACCCAGGGCGATGCGGGAGGCATTGGCCCGGAACTCGGGCAGACCCAGGATGGGCAGGTACTCGTGGTTCAGGCTGTTGTCGTTGGCGATCATCTGCTCCACCTTTTTCACCACGGGCAGGACCCATGGCTGCCCCTCGTCCGTGCGGTAGGCTGCCGGGAAAGGGAGCGCCGTGCTGGGCCCGCGGCACGGACACACGCGGCCGGCGGACAGGGGCCGCCCCCACGACCTTGACGCGCGCAGCTGACCCGCTGCCCGCCCAGCCCCCGAACGGGCGCTCGTCGCGACCCGGTGACCTCTCGGACCCGGGGCCCGCCACTGCCGCTCCAGCAGGTGCCGGGACCGCCGCAAGGGCAACGGCCGGGAAGGGGCCCCGCCGGGCCCGGGGAGCCCGCGGACTCACCGCCAACGCCTAGGTTGACCTTTCGCGAGTCCCCGTCCTCCCGGAAGTCCGCCGTGAGCTTGAAGACGGCGACCGGCGGGGCGCGGGGGACGGCGGTGAAGATGGAGGCGGCCATGGCGGCGCGACCCACGCTGGTCCCCTCCGGCTCGTTACGGGTGGCGCACGGCGCCTGGAGGAGACGCTCACCTTCACCGGCGGAGCCGCCGCACGCCGCAGCCAATCAGTGAGCCGCCGGCGGCCCCACCCGCAACCGCCAGCCAGTGGCGGCCCTGCGGCCCCTCGGGCGGAGCTCGGGCAGCCAATTGCGGCGGGGACGCCGGACGGCGGCGGTGGCCGCGTCAGGTTACGTCAGCGGCGCGGGGACGCAGGCGCTGCCTATTGGCGGCTGGCGACACCCCTGTACTCGGCTCCACCCTCTCCGCTGCGCCGCGGGGGATCGGGGAGCGCCCGGCGTGCGGCCGGGGCTGGGTCCCTGCCCGCGGGTGGCGGCGTACCCGGGGCCGCAGCGTGCAGAGGCGGTGCAGCGTCCGGTGTGTGTGGGTTCCGGAGCTGCGGCGATGTGGTGCGGGGTCCCAGGGTGCGATGCCCGTGGTACGGCGTGCCGCGGGGGATACCGTGCCCGAGGCAGCGCTGCTCTGCGGCAGTGCTCGGGGGTGCAGTGCTCGAGGCCCGTCACGGGCCCCAGAAGGGCCCCTGGGGTGCAGCACACGTGTGGGTGCAGGTCAGCCCTGCGGTGCACGACAGGCCCCGGAGGGCCGTGCCTGGGGCCGCAGGTCTTGGAGGTGCAGGAAGGTGCCAGGAGGGACGTGCCCGGGTGGGGATTGGTTCCCAAGGCAGTTACGGGGATCCTCCAGAGCGGCTGCCCTGGGTTTTACGACACGGTCCCGGCTCCCACCCGCCTGCGGACCTGCGACCCTCGAGCCCGTGGGTCCCTGGCGGGTGCCTCCCCTCTCACCAGAAGCCATTGGCGGGTCAGCCCCTGTGCTGGCCCGCGGGCAGCGTCCAGGGTCACCAGTTAGCGTGGGAGCGGCGGCTGTGCCGAGCAGTGCCGGCAGGGGGCAGAGCCGGTCCGTGCACCGCGCTGCTGCCGCCGGCCAGCCCCGTGCGGCCCCCGCAGAGAGCTGCCCCGCAAGGCGCCACCGGCCCCGGACAGGACGGGACAGGCGGGAGGTGGCCCGGGGCTGCCCGAGCATCCCACCAGCGGGTGCCCCCACGGGTCTCCGGGGAAGGGGTCGCTGCGTGACCGGCTCCGTTAGGAACCGCCGCTTGCCTCGGGCGGCTTTTGAAGTTTGTGGGAATCCGCCCTCGATCCTGCAGCATCTGGGAAAGGCTTCCAGGGAAACGGGAAGGTCGTCGCGAGTAACAGCCCCGGCAGCGCGACAGCCGCCCCCACCTCCCCCCCCCCCCCCCCCCCCCCCCCCGCCCCTCGTGACATAAACCACAGGCCATGCTGTCCCCAAAAGCTTTTGCAGACAAACTGTGTCATACACTCCCTTTGTTAACCCAGCCAAGATCCCTCTGAAAACCAGTCTGGCTCCTCGCCCCTCTCCCAGCCGAAAGTGGCTCCACAGCCCGGCTGCCTGAGAGGGAGCCCGGAGGCACAGCTTTCCCTTCCCCAGCTCCGGGCAGCACCTGGAAGAACTGCCCAGTGCACTTTCTGCTTAGCATGAGAGCAGGGAAGAGGCAGAGCTGCCCGGCGGCACAGCAGCATGCCGATGCTTTTACCTTCCAAGAAAACAGTGTAATGGGAAAGGCAGAGGAGCAAGACTGTAGTGCTAGACCAAAGCCCTGGTGAGGTTCTTAGCCCAACTCAGGTAAAACCTCTATCAGACCTTGACAAAAGGCTGCATGGAAACCCAGAAAGGGTTCTTGTCTGCTTGCTGCAATAGCTGTGGACCCCTGCAAACACCTTACCTTGTCAAGCTGCTGTGAGGGCATCTCTGAACCCTACCCTTAACTTTAACTCAACCCTTAACTCTAACCCTAACCTTAACCCTAACCCCAACTGTATGAAGAGTGCTTGGGTTTCTTGAGGTCTGTGGATAATGCTAAGTGAGAAATGCTGCAGGGCTGAGCAGGGAAGCAGTTGATGAGACCATGGACATCAGAGGTAAATGGGGGGTAGCCCACCACAGGGTGAGTCACTTTTTCTGCTCACAAGAAGTAAAGCACTGCAGTAATGAGATGCTGCGATGGGAAAATCTAACCAATGCTGCTTAGTGTATCCTGTTTCTGGAGCAGACAGAAGTTCTGGGGAGTCCCCAGACTGGCAGGTTCTCACTGCACTTACTGGGTTCTAATCCTACCACTCTCCAAAGTGCACTGGGATATTTGGGGACATGGCCAAGCTTTTTCCCAGTGCAGAGCAGGGAAATCATAAAGGCGCAGGGGTGCTGCCTGCCAAGCTGGCTGCACCAAGGTGCTGCTTGGGACTGCCAGAGCAGGCTGAGCAGTGCCGGCTGCAGGATAAAATGCAGCTTCCCCATATCAGTACTGCCTTCCTCATGGGCTCCTGAACAGCACGAGCTCTGTGCTGCCAAGCCGGTGCAGACCATCTATGCCACTGCCTGTGCCTATGAGGCCATGGTTGCTGACCCAGCAGGAGTTACCTGCTGGTGTGCCTGGCTGCCCCCAGCCCGGCTGGTGTCCCCTGCCCTTGGCGGAACAGTGGGGCTCCACTGGGAACAGTTGCAGGAACAAGACAGACAGGCAAGAAGCAGGAGGCCGCCGGGCCCCCGAGCCGGGTGGCTGTGCGTTAGCAAGATCCCTCTGGCCCTGAGCTTTCATCTGCACAGCCTACACAAAGGGTGCCACCAAAATGTATGTAAAAGCAGAAGAAACATGGGAGCCAGCCCTGAGGCATCCCTCCCTTCATCTCCTGGCTCTGACTGACAGCCAGCAATGACCTGCCACTCAGCAAAAAGGCTTGCACACCTTACCTGGAGCAAAGAGCCCTCCTGGGCATGCACTGCCACACCACACACATGCATGGCCCCCCGCACGCAGCCCCTCCTGGAAGCCAGGGGCAGGGGTGCTTGGCAGCCAGCTCAGGCTGCCGCAGGGATGCGGGGACCACTGAGGACCAGGTGCTGTCCTCCCCCCCATTGAGCCTCACCGGGGTTTGGGAAAAACCTTTCTGGGAGGGTGCAGGTGTGCTCCACTCACCCCATTCCTTTCTCTCACCCTCACAAGATCCACTCTTGTACCTCTCTGGCTTCTGCTTCATCTTCTTCCTTGACAAAAAGCCCTGCCCAGCGCTGGGGCACCCTCAATCCCAGCATCACTGTAGGGGTTTAGGCTGCCTTGCCTGAAGTGCTGCCCATCTGCCCATCTGAGGCAGCATGCAGGCAGGGAGCAGACCTATGGCTGTTTCCAGCGGGTACTGTTTTCCCAGCCACCTTCAGAATACAGATGTTTTCTCAGTGCAGGATCCAGACAGAGGAGGGTAAAATGTTTTCATTCCAAGCTCCCGGGGTCAGGTCATGGTTTGTCTAAATGGCTTTTGTAGCTGTAATTATCAGATTAGCTGATCTCTGGAAGTGCATTTAGGGGCAGCTACATTAACTGTGGATCCTAACACCCCTACCCCCCCCCCCCCCGGCTGCCACCCTGCCCAGCTGGGGCAATAGGTTTGCAATGAAGTGATGGGGATCAGGGATGCCAGGAGAGCCAAGTGAAAGGCATGTGGTTGGTTTTTAGCTGGTATCCAGCTGGACCCTAGCCCGGGAGCAGCTGGCATGTTTGGGCAAGACAGCAGCAAGCCTCCTTGACCTCCTCAGTGCACGATGCCAAGCTGGGCTCGATCCTCTCCTCTGACTCCAACCTGCAATAAATCCCAGCTGCAGAGCCCCATCCCAGGTACCTGCCTGCCGCTGTGGCTGATGCTCTTCCTGCAGACCCAGCACCTGAGGTGCCTCCCCTTGCTTCTTGCAGGCAGCAAGCCCAGCAGGTCCCGGGGTGGGAGGTCCAGGACCCCACAGTGCAGCTGAGATAGGGAAGCCCAGGGCCAGTGCCTCGCCACAGGGTGCTGCAAAGGGTGGGCAGTTCCCAGCAGCCGGGGAGGCACAGGAATAGGAGCATGAGATACCAGGCGAGACAGGGAGCGTGACGGGGAGATGAGAGAGCAGGGCGAGGGGCAGATAAAGAGGGATCAGGAGTTTCCGGCCCCCACCAGCCCCTCGCCGGGTCCGTCTGTCAGCGCCTGCAAGTGCTGAAGGCACCGAGCCCTGGTGGCAGCCGGGGCCGCAGGTCCTGCCGAGGGGCACCATCAGGGGTTGCAAAGGGGCCCCGCTGCTGTGTTCCTGCTGCACCGGGACACCGGCAGCAGCTCAGCCCTCAGCATGGCTGGTGATGGGCAGTGCCCATGGACCGCCCCATGGGTGTTCCCACGAATTTCACCCACTGGCACCAAACAAAATCAGTCCCTGCTCCGCTGAGCTGCCGGTAAACATAGGGGTGTTCGGTAGCCACTTGCTTTTGCTCTGTGCCCATGGTGGTTGCCTGTCCCATCAGCCCACCTCCTCTCTCAGCTTCTATAGGTGGGAGCAGCAGGGGCTTCCCTTGACCAAGGCAGAAGCCCTGAAGAAATAATTCAAAATCAGAAAATACTTTATAGTTTCTCCATGAAACAAATAATCTAAAATGTGGTTTCACTGTATTTCAGTTTCTGGAGTTTTATAATGCCGACGCATAACACCCCACCGAATGAAGACTTCCAGAGTGGAATATTTACATCTTCTCTTTCAAAGAACATTTCAACCTCTTTAAATGCTTCAGAAAATTTCAACAGCAAAATTGTGCCTTTAAACATTATGTTCCTGCAGGAGGTTTTGACTTCAGTACAATATAGCTTAAAAAAAAAAAAAATCACTCGGAGCTATGTTCCTGGTATTTTTCCTAATTGCCACCATGACAGAGCTTGGTTAGCTCCAAATCCATCTTCTTTGCCTACAGCTGAAAACCAGAGAGCAACTCGGAGCACTGAGGACAAAGCCTGTGCATCCCAAAAAGGAGCATATCCGCCAACCCAGTCAGGCTCAAACTTCTCCTGCCACTGCTGCTGCCTGGGCACAGCCAGAGGTTCACCATTTCTCCATTGAAACCCATTTTGCACATCAGTCCTCATGTCCCTCCAGTCCCAGAGCAGTTCATGTACCACTCAGGACCTACTCCATGGCCATGCTGACCTCCTCTGCATCCTCAGGCATCCAGGAGGAGCACAG